TCTCTTTGCTAGGGCTACGATCACAGCTACTTCTTCATCGCAACCTTTGTTAATGATCACATCAGACACCATGCAAAATACCTCAATGCTTGAACCGTAGGAGTCTCTTTTGCCCAGTACAAGTCAATACATAAACAAATGTTAACAAAAATCACTTGCTGAATTAGTGCCTATAAAAATGGAGTCATGCTGATAGTACTGCTAAAAAATCCTTAATTCTCTGTGTACTTGAAAATAAATATTTTGAATGTGTTCATCTGCTTTGAAAATTTTTTAACCATACTGGGAAAAGCATTCTGAGGGTATGGCTCAGAATAGATATGATCATTTAATTTTTTGTTTTTAAACAGCATATTGACATAGAATATGTCAGTGGTCTCAAGACGGTGCAGACTGCAGCAGGAGAACTAGTAACACGCTAACTTTCCATTTGTCACTCATTCAGCACTGAACAGAATAACTGGACAATTTTGAATACAGGGCTGAAAACAATAGTAAATTAAATGGATTTACACTGAAGTGTTTTTCTCCTGCCTATTGAAGTGTATTTCCAGGCCAAAATCTGCAGCTGTTGATGGAAAATGCAAACAAACTTATGCTGCATTGTGATCAACCATTCCCCCCTTGTTAACATTGAACCTGTAATTGGGAGTGTGAAAGGAAGAGGCTTCTGTAACACAGTCTGAAGGCAGCTACCTGAAATCAGGTATTAAAGGGAGCAGTTCATCCTTTTTATGACTTAAGTTTGCCACCAAGTAAGTTTCTGGGGAAAGGCTAGAGATTCTTCTTAGAGAGGAATAAATTAGTTTGAGGGATGGATAAGCAGTGGGATGGTTTCTTTGCCTAACATCGAGAGCATTGGAGAGCAGACTCTGCCACCTTTTATTACTTTACTATCTGAGGAGAAAGGGCAGCCGGGGGGACGGGACAGGACTGTTTTACGTGAGTAAAGGTAGCTGAATCTGACCCTGTTGTACCAGATTTAAAATGATTCCCCATGGTGTGTAACTCTGCCTGCTAATTTGTATGTTGGGGGAGGAATACAGTCAGCCTACTCTTCACTAGGATTTTAGTGTTTCCCCTAAGTTAACATGTCTCCACTTAACTGTGAGGGGACAGGATTTAGCCAACCTACTTTGGCTGTTCATCACGCAAGAGCTTTCTGTGCACTATGTGGATCCAACAGCCAGTCCTTCTCTTCCCTCTTCCAATAGTGGTACCAGCTGTTTCAGCCTGGAGCTGGAGTAATAGCTCTACTGCTATACAACAGCTTTGGGGGGAGAATTATTTTACCTACGGCAAGTCCCTGAAAATACTTGCTGCCACAGGTTCTCAAACTTAACTGTGGACCACATCTTAATAGAGCTTACGGACCATCTCCAGTTCGTAATCAGATAACATCCCCATGTAACACATTGCAGTTGCTTACATGAATAAGTAGTAGGTCAGTAATGTAATTTCATGTCTTCAAGGAAATAGAGGAGCTAGTAACAAGCTTTCATCCAACTGTCAGTCCTCAAGATTTGAGCAGGAGATTCTTGATTTCCTCCCCCTGGCCAGAAAGGTTAGTAGCTGGGCTTGTGCAGGAAACATTTGGTTCTAGAACCAAACACAGCACTTGACCTCAGTTCTACTTCGACAGATCCCACGGACTGCAGTACTAGAGAGACGGATGCTACATAATACCTTTATATTTTGTGATTGCTGGCTTAAAAACTGCCCAGAGAGGTTAATGTACTCTTGAGTTACCTACTGCTGGACTATCACCATGTGTAAGGCAGGGGAGGGCAAGATGTTGACTGTGCAGTCACTTTTCCATCACTAAAACAGTGACTGTAGCGATCTAATTCTCTACAACACGTAAAACAAACATAACCACCCACCCAGGACCAAGCGGGCTATTTTCCATGTTGAAAACTGAGCGGTAGAACTGCTAACCTGAGAGAGGACATCAAATACCTGCAACCAAAATGCAAAGCCACGATTTTGGGAAACAGAGAGATGTGATTTTCCTCAAAAACTGAAACCGTTCTGCTCTTATTTAACAGCAGGCTAGCCTTTTCTCCCCCTGCTTTGTATGGGGACAGCTTTGTATTTCAAAGGCAGTACGTTTTCAAGCAGCTGGGGAAAAAGTAGTTCCTTTCCTGTCACCAAGTCCTGTGCAGGTGCATGGCAGTACAAAGTTTAAGTGACTGCTACAAGTGGAATTAATGTTAATTTTTTTAAAAACTATGCTTTAAGACAAAGGGCTGATCTCCAGGATACTGGTGCCCTTTGCAAACGAGTTATTGGGCCAGCTCAAACGTTCTAATAGAAAATCCCAACGCTGTATTGGTGCTGTGTGCCATGTTTTATGACACCTGAGATGGTGTGGTGACCACTCTTATCAGCTGTTTCATTCAGCAGGGGTATGTTGTAGGAAACACTTCCATTTTATTATATGTAGCAAAGTATGTAAAAAGTCTTTCCTAATTCATTCTGAAATAGCCATTGAGCTTGAAACAGCAGCATCTGGTGCTGTGATTAGTGCCTAGAGCATGCGGTTTGCGAAGCATCAAAAGCTGGAAGATTTATCTTTCGGGCATTACAGGCAGTCCTTGACTTTACAATGTTTGAGTTATGATGAACAGCACAATGTTTATAAATTATTGTTTTGACTTTACAGCACTCTATGGGAAATTCAAGTTACGTTTTTGACTTAAGTGATTTGTGTTGTAAGTCCAAGGGCTGCCTGTATTTTAGCTGTAGCCTTGTGGGAATGGGAGTCAGGACTCTTCAGACCTAATCCTGCCACTGACTATTGCAGGACTAAATCACAGCGCCTCTTTGTTACAGTTTCCCTATCTATACAAAAGGAACGATATCCCTGCCATCAGACTTTGCAAACAGTTAATTTAACCTTGTTTGAAATTTGTACCATGTTCACCTCAGTAAGAGCAAAGTGTTGCTTTCACAGAAAAATTAAGAGCTCGAAATCAGAATGTGCCATCCAGAGGGGATTTCCATTACAACCTCTCTATGCATGCAACTAAGCAGAAACCATTTTAACTACAGGTATAGAATTCCTCCTAGTATCTGACATTTATCATTCTACAGTAACAAGTGTCAAGCATTTGGGTGCTGTAAGGTATTAAAAGCAGATGTGAAAAGTTGTGGCATTTCCTTTGAAAAAGAATACAGGGAGTAAAACCTTAAATTTTACTTCAAAGGAGATTACATCATTAATGGATCCTAATATAACATTAAACAGGATCATTTAACAAGGGTAAGTTTAGCGGTAGCAAATGCAGATCACCAGCAGGCTCGTACCTGTTACATTTACAGTCTATTTTTAAAATCTCCGAGTACTGTGTGAGATACAGGAAATGCAGCTCCTGCCTGAGTCTTAATCTACTTTCCAGCAAGAGATCTATTACAATTTCAGCTTCCATGTTGAAACACCAGCCCATATACAAGTTTGGATACAGAAAATACCTGTTGCTTTTTCTAGTAAGAATGCAGAATCACTTACTATCCTAGAGCAAGTTTGCTTTGCTGACAAAACTTAGGAGCAGTGATGAGTCTGATGCTTTCTTTTAAAGCTGATTTTTAGAGGCAGTGCAAGTGAACAACTATACCTTCAAGAGGCTCTTTTCTATGAGAAATTGTTTTAGAGCCCTGCACAGTGGAGGAGGTTTTATAAAATTAACTCTCAAAGAAGCTAGATTTGTACACAAGTCCCAGATCCATAACAGCAATAAAATGCCTTGCTCTTTTGGCTACCAATTGAAGTCAGGGGGAAGGCAGGTTTTTGGGAATTGGATACCTCTCATATTGCAACTGAAGTACCCTTCACACTGACCTCGCTTCTTCCTTCCAGGATCTGGTTACCTTGCAATAACTGACATGACAAATAGCACTGGGGCAGAATTTCTACCATTTGTGATGCCATCAACTCCTGCAGCAGAAATAAAGAATCCTTGATTCAGCAACAAAGCTGAAAAGCTAGTTCAGCAAAAAGGTTGTTTATCTTTGACTGATCCCGTAGAAATTCCCCTCTACCGGCCTCCAGGCATATATACACTGTCCCTTTCTCTCTCTCCTTAATGCAGCTGCTGTAACACATTACTCTGTACCTGTGTCGCTGTTTGTAGAACAATGGAGACATTCTACTTTCCTACTTTTCCTGCCTTCCTACTGTTTACATCCTCCTCTCCTCCTTTCTCTAGCCTCCATGACTGGGGTGTCAATATTCACTGTCTTGTGTGTCCAAGTTAGAGCCCAGTGCTGCACTTACTACTTAGACACAGTGCTTACTACCAAAATCAAGGGCACTAGTCATGGTAGTTTTAGGGCCTCAGCCCAGGGATTGTAAAGTCTTCAGGAAAGAGACTTGTACAGAGTAACACACATGCTATAATAAAAGACATGCAGCTGTAGAGGCTATTTGAATTTGGAGGACAAATGATAAAATTATTTTCCTTACTTTTTTTAGTGGCTAGTTGCAGGTCTGTAATCACGATCAAATACGTTTATGCCTTTAATCCCACAGTGTGTTTCCTTTCTGCCAGCCGTGCATACAGCAGCTGTGTTACCCCACAGCTTCACTGCCCCAAACTAGAATCTAGAGGAGGATCATAAAATAATCCAGTTAAGGTGTAGCCTGATTTAAGCAGAGAAGATAGAGATTTACATAGATTTTGCTGTTCTCTCAGCACAGACTGCATCAAAGAAAGCTTTTACAGTGAAATACCACTATGCTATAAGAACACACCCAGAACCACCCAAACATTACAACTGTCTACTTGCATTTGTGTATGGTGGGGGTTTCTAGCAACTTGTCTGGAGAAACGGATTCTGCAAGAGCAAAGGGCCTTTAGCTAGGTCTGGCTTGAACTTTGGTTTCGCCTCCTTCCCCCCCCCCCAAAAAAGAGGCACTTTGCTTCCTTTACTTGCTTGCGATTTCCTCCAACAACGATAGATTTATTATACAAATTCTCAGTCATGGGAGAGTCAGGAAATGAATACAAATAAACTGATTTAATTGCAGCCACAGTAAAGTTGGCACTATATACACACAACGTTCACTGTTTATGGTATTGTCAGGAGGCCATGCATTTTTATTGCACATATAAAGTGTACAAAGATTCATGAAGATTTTCTTTTTAGCCATACAGGTTAAGACTGCATAAAAAAAGCCGGATTACAAAATATTTAGCGCTATTTACAGCCAACTTTAAGCAAATACTGAAAGTCACTATTAGGAGGAAAACAAATTAATTATGAAAAAAACAGGATTTGTCAAAATAATAATTACAAAACTTCATGTTGCCATATATACATCATAAAAAAAATACTCAGGAACCTGCATTTTACCCCTCGATGCAGCAATTAATATTCCTATTTATATAGTCAATTTCTGAATGCTTTTAAAGTTTGATATACTCTGAGTTGAAAACCTATTTTTTTTATATTGTTCATGCTATTTGACAAAACAGGTATTTGTGCAGCTCTGTAAAATATTAAAATACATTTTAATTTAGTGTTAAAGTGCACAATATATTTTATAGGAAACCATATGCTAGCTGCCAGTCAAAATTGCAAAGTAAGTCAATGTTCCCTCTATAGAACAAAAGCTTTTACTTTGGTTGAAATAACTGAATATTCCATGCATACTGTATGTGCCATTATACTGTCCTTGAGTTCACATTTTCCGCCAAACAGATGGTTGTTGATGTGTACCATCATCTGTGATGTCGAAAACACAAGGTCTGCATTCAAAACAGTATATATTCAGGATTAAAAATATAATTCCTTGGAATACTGGTGGTTTTTTAAATGCAGTGTCTCTCTGTGTGACCAGGCATGTAACTCTGCCTAGAATATGCAATATTGTGACAAGTGTACACATTCTTCAAACAGATGGTTATTTCTCTCTCCATAGCCTCTTTCACTCTTTCATTTGCCCTCTACATTGCCTCGCTTTTGCTGTAATGAATTTCAAACTCTCCTTCCTTAAATGTAACAGGGACCCCTAACGGCCATCCTTTCTACCACATGCAACTTCCCTGTCTTGTTTGCCTAAATTACTTACATCACGAGATTTCCATACTCCCCCCCCCCCCCCAAAAAAAAGGATGTTCAAGAGGTTGTGAAAATCACTGTGCTAGAACTTTTCTACCTAAAATATCTGTCTGACAATGACTGAACAATAAATTAAGCTTTAAAACCTCCTTTTGAAATTAAAAGTAATGAAATAAAACTATTTCCTACTGCTGAATTGGGACAAGGGGTCTGATCCTGCAAACACTCGATACAGGGCAATCCCACGGCAGTACATTAACTACAAGGAGAGCACTCACAGCAGTAAGCCCTGCAACCTGCAGTACATATTTGAAGGGTTAGGCTGTTACAACGACCTAAAACAACTGCAATGAAATTATATTTTCTCTTTTAAAAAAAACCCCAACGTATATTTGACTATCTAGAAAACTTTCTATTTTCACCTTTCTTGTGCTATTTTTTTATTTGTTCCGTAGTGCTGTATCCTTTTAAGATTACCTAAGTTACAGTGCAAAATTATATCTCAAGACATGTGACACTAATGCACATCAGTTATTTTGTTGTAATAAAAGTTTAATGTCTTGTGCATAGTAAAATAAGTATCAATCAAAAATATTTGTTCACATTTGTGTGTTCAAGTTTAATCTTTCCTTTTTTTTTTTTTAATAACAGCTATATACAAATAAAAAGGTGTGCTTCTCTTCAGCTCAACCAACTTCATCTACTGGGGGGCAGAGGGAAGTGCTGCTGGAATGTTGGAAACTAACTGGAATGCAGACCAACGCCACTCATCTTCCACAAACCCTAAAATAAAGAATGCCGTCCCAGCTAACCATTCTTTTCATGAAAGCACCTATTTTTGTTTACCGTTTATCATACATATTAGAAAATACAATTATGGAGATCTAGAATTACTGCACACCAAGTAGAATAAAAAATAACTAAATATTTATATTAAAATAAAGTGTTTAACCACAAAAAAGCAGTAATAAAATACAGTTTCCTAATTTACATTTTGCATCCAAAGGATGAATAACAACTCACTAATAAATAATATTTATATAAATATTTTATGGCTGAATATTTTTAAAATGGCCTGAAGCAACTGCAGAAAAACAAAACAGGTTAAAATTCCTATTAAAAAAAAAATTAAGATGCTCTTGTGTTAATAAGATGAACATATTTATCTGCAAGGCAGCTGTACTCCACACTTATGTAAGCGGCAGAGAGGTGGCTGTTTTAATAGCTACTGTACAAACTGAGCTATGAAAGCAGTGGAAATGCCAGTTTGTTTTATAAAATGATTATTAGTTTGCAGTTCAACATATATAGATAGCCTGAAAGATGATTTCAGTTCAGAACTGTAGGAATACTCTTTTGGAGCAGAAGGGTATTTGTCAATGCAGTTTGAAAAGATGAGCAGTGTTTTGATACTTTTATGGCACGTTGGAGCGGATTACAGCAGAAATAGTAGTTTCATGTGAATAAAGCTTGCTTCATTGTGGTTACCTCTAGTAATGCTTGAACTGTTATGCTCACTTTTACCAAGCCCTTTTCTTCTAGGATGTGATGTGGTAGGCAGAGCTTCTCCTAAAAGAAAAAACAAAGGAGTAAAGATGAGACCACCTACCTCTTATTGCAAAATCTTGCTTGATGCAAATGCAGCTAGAATGCAGTTATCACAACAATCAGGAATCATTTAATTAGACAACAGTCTATGCTTTTTCAGAAAGGATTCTCTTGTTTTTCTGATGGCACACTTGGCCTAGTTTGAGACTTTTAAGTGTTCTGGATGACTCTAGGCCAACAAGAAGCCATCTTATTCTTACATTTAAAAAAAGCAACCAACATTTTAACACCATAAAGATTCACAATTAGTTTTCAGCACCAAGTCTGATGGTACATTCATTTAGCATGTAATCACTGTAAAGACACCAACATTACAGACAATAGTGAGATACTGTGACATGTGCCCATTACTTTTTAAAAAAATTCCTGGGGTGAAATCCCAACCCTCTTGAAGTCAAGGGAGTTTTGCCACTGAATTCCATAGGGTCAAGTTTTCACCCTGGAATATAAACCTTGAACAGCAGTGATTACAATCAACAGATTGAAACGTGAACAACAACATTTTACATTTATGTTGATGTGCAACGGGATCACTTCATCCATCAATGGAATGCAGCAGCCACAGAGCTACATCAGAACAAACAAACCTCTAGTCTATTATTCTGACTCTAACAGTAGAGAATAATCGATCTTTCAGAAGGAGGTGCAAGAAGCCCCAGAGTGAACCATTATGAAATAGCCTGCCAAAGGGGAAGTTTATTCCTAATCCGCATCTGTTAGTGGCTGGTTTATGTTTTCTAAAATAATGCTTTCGCTAATACAGCTGTGGATATTCTGATTCATAGAAACATCTAATCTTGTTTGTCATCCTGCTAAACTCCTGATATCTAATGGCAATGAGTTCTATAGGTTAATTATGCAAAAAACTATTTCCTTTTATTAGCTTTAAACGTTGTTCAATTTTTTTGAATGTCCTCTTTCTTTTAGAATGTGAGATAGGGTAAAAAGGAGCATCTGATTTATCTTCTCTACACCAGGCATTATTGTGTTTACCTCTGCCGTATCTCCCCATATTCATCGCCTCTTTAAATTAAACAGTTTCAATCTTTTCAATCTCTCTTCTTATGGTAATCTTTCCCAATCTCTAATCCCTTCTGATGCTGAACAGAATATAGCATACACCATATAATAATGATATAATATTTTCTATCCCATTACTTATGCATTTTAACATTTTGTTTCTTTTATTTAATTTTTTTTCCCAGTGATAACTGGATTTTTCTCCAATTTACAGTTCAGTTAGAACCCACTAATTTGTTTAAATGACTGAAAATATTTCCTCTAATGCACATGGCCCTGACCTTGTTAACCATGAGAATTTCATCTGTCATTGTGCTTTACCTAGCTTGGACAGATCCCTCTGAAGTTCCTCATGGTCACCTCTAGCCTTGACTAGCCTAAATAATTCTGTATCATCTACAAATTTTGCCACCTCACTGTTCATTCCCAGATAACTGATAAATATATTAAACTATACAGGTCGTAGTATGGGTCTGTGTGGCACCCCACTGTTAACTTCCGGACACAATGAACACTGACCATTTATTCCTACCCTTTGTTTTCTGTCATAGCCTGCTTCCAATCCATGACAGTACACTCTCTCACTCTAAGACCACTTACTTTCCTTAATAACCTCCTGTATGGGATTTGGCGTATACTCTTACAGAAAATGCCACCAGATTGTTAATGAACGCAAGATGTCAGGACCTCAATTATATAATCAAAATGTTGTCATCTTCAAAAGTAATAAAATTCTCTAGACCTTGGTTCAATACTGTCTCAGAGGAAAAAGTACCACAATACAACTTCATGTAACACAGAGGTTTTTCCTTAGAAGCCCTCTGTCCAAGTTGTGTCTCAACCAGACTAAGCTTACCTTGAGGTTAATTAATCATGGCACAAGGCTGTGCATCTACAGGCCATAAATACATTTAGTAGCCTAGTTTAAAACAAGACAGAAATCAAACTCTGCATCTTGCATGTCAAATATAGGACAAGAAGGGAGATCCAGAATTTGTTCAAAATTATTACATCTGCCACTGGTACTATAATTGATCTTTAAATGTAGAAGTGCAAGTATTTTTGACTTATCTTACTTGTAACTTTTGGTGTGTGGTTATACTTCTGTATCTATGAGCATACCATATTTTGGCTTCTCTTATCAAATTCACAAGAAATTATTTGAGAAATGTAAGCTTCAAGATTGTGAGGCTGAGTGTGTCTGTGGTACAGATACACTACCCCATGTCCTACAGCGAAGGTGCTGCAAGGTTCTGGCAGTCTGCTCAAGCTGGTTTATATTACATATGGAGTCTGTGGCTTTCCACCACTTTGGCTATTGTCTTCTCTTCAATGTGTTGGCTTTTGACATTATAATTCATCACTGAATTCACTGCTGTAATGAAGCACAGTATATCTAATCAACCAGCCCTGACACGTATTAATGTTGTGAGTATCTTTACCTAGAATGAAAGGGACTTAATTGAAATCATACAAACAATCTCAGTGGGGCCAATCTTGTGTGACTGTGAGGTCCTGCAGACTCTCAAAGTGTCAGGCAAGACTGTCATTAACTTCTGCTTCCTCATTAAGGGACATTTCTTTCTGGAGAGATGTACAGAGACCTTGTAAGGCTTAAAGTTTTTCCTTCAGATGCAAACTGTCATGTAACTTGATGTATGATTGGTAGTGGAGTAACTAAATGAAAAAAATGTTTTCAGTTTCAAATACAAGACAAAAATGAAGGTTTTCTTCACTTCTGGTAATATAAAGTTTATTCAAATATGTCTAATAGTTAAGGAACTTTGGTCAATCTCATATCTCACAACCCACTTGCTCATAATGTCCTCAGTTTTAGAATCTCTAGGAATAAAATATTCTGATCTGGTATTGTCAGATAAAAAAAATCTTTACATTCTATACTGAATATGTTTTAAAGTCAGATGAATTATTTTTTAAAAGTTGTTTCTACTCCCACTGGATATGGCCCTCCCCTCACCAGATAAGGACTGGGCTAAGAAAACCCAATAAAAAGGTGATATGAGTTTCCTGTCTGAATATTGATCATTATTCTTACATTTTCAGATACGAAATTACTGTATATTAAATTATTGGACACTGAAGTGAGTATTTGAAAACCAAAGGAAAAAAGTTACAAGCATTTGATAAGAGAGGGACATCACTTTAAAAAAAAAATCACTGCTAGGTATTTGTAAGTTTGAATGCATTCTTAAAATGATATGTTTGTCCCAAATCACTTCTATTGAAGCCAAATCTGTATCAAACACAGTTCAGTTTAAAGAGATTTTTACCTCACACTTAAAAGATTTTTACTGCAAAACTGACTCACTATTCATCTAGCCACCTGTATCAGTCAGAGCTTTTGTTTTACCTATTGATTTTTCCTGGCTATAGTGTTTATTGTCTTACTCATAATTACTCTTTGTGATTAACTGTAAATAAGTTCAGTCATTCATTTTAAACCATAAAAATCTCCCCAATATCACTTTGCTTTATCTTTAAAGAAAATGAATTAACCAGTCCAAAATCTAATATAATATTCTAGTCAAGTATAAAACTAATACCTAGGAGCTCTATTCTCAAATAAAGGAAGTTTTTTTAGGACCGATATACAAGCAGACTCTAGGTTTAATTTCTAGTTTTTAAAGCAGAAATAGGTGATACAAAGGAAGACAGTACTTTGTAACCAGCATGTTCACCTTCCCCAGAATACATCTCCTTGTCCCTAATCTCTTGCTTAGTTCCCTTCTCTCTTTCACATGCTCGAAGGCCTCTACATTACCAACAAGAAAACGATGGACAATGCAAAGTTATAAAGAACAAACCAATGAACAAACACAAGGGTTATGTGTTTTGACAAATATCCCAGAACAGTTATTGGATCCTGTAGCATCCTATAAAAAGAACACACTCCTTTCACCTCATCGTTTTCATAACTAACTCAATTCTCTTGTTCACCTCAATAAAGAGTTTAAGTGCTGAGCTTTACATTCCAGATTTTTACATTGCTCCCACTATCTAACACAACCTTCCTACCTCTGCACACCCAAATCCTTTTCAAATCACAGCTCAACAACATTCTATGACCTTTTTTTTTTTTATAAGAGAAGAATCAAATCTTACTAAGGGTATTATCCAAACTCCAAGGAAGTCAGTAGGAGCCTTTCCAAAGACTTCAATGGGCTTTAGATCAGATCCCAACCCTCCCAATTACCCATATTCAATCATTCTCCCCGAAACTTGGCCACTTCCTCTTCCTCCTCCTCTTCTCTTTCCTACCACATCTACAAATGCTATCTCTAAGACACAAGGAATGCACTTATCCTACAGCTGTCAAACAATCAGATGAGAGAAACTCACTATATAATATGACAATACTGCAAAACTTTTATAGAAATCTAGCATTTCTAGGCACTAGACCTCAGCTATGGAGGAACTCGCCCATGACTACAGTAAGACTTTAGGTAACTGACAGATTCTTTAAACATCTTTCCCACTTTTGGAAGTGATTTCTCTCTATCTTAAACTGGCATAACACCAGTGTAACTCCACTAACTTCAACACAGGGTATGATTCATCTCTCAGTAGTATCTCCTTTGAAGTCAATGAAGTTATGTCACTGCAAAGAGAGTGTGAGAGAGATGGAGTTGGGCACTTCATTTCCAACACCAGTGATGGTCTCTACAGAATCGGTCAGTCAATACAGAGGAAGGACCCACCGATTTCTGCTTTGGTCATGGATGGGTCTTTTCACAACAGAACACACACCCTGATGAATTACCCAGGATCTAAGGTCTGCTTCTAATGAACTCAGTGGAATGACTGACACCTAATCATTGAAACACCTAATCATTGCAACCAGGCTAACCACATTCTAAATTTAAATTAAATTTTAAAAGACTGATATAATTTTGAATGTTATTTTCAAATTTATGTCAAAG